CTCTCTCTGAAACACAACATATCTCCTTTTGTTTCAAATCTCAAAATCAAACACATAAAATGGAAGTGAGTAGCGTGGATGAGAGTACGACGAGTACGGGTTCGATATGTGAAACTCCGGCGAAACAACCGGGAAAATCGTCGGTAGGTTTATATCGAATGGGAAGCGGAACAAGCGTGGTTTTAGACTCCGAGAACGGAGTCGAAGCAGAGTCGAGGAAGTTACCGTCGTCGAAATACAAAGGAGTGGTTCCACAACCAAACGGAAGATGGGGAGCTCAGATTTACGAGAAACACCAGCGCGTGTGGCTCGGCACTTTCAACGAAGAAGACGAGGCGGCGCGTGCTTACGACGTCGCCGTTCACCGTTTCCGTGGCCGTGACGCCGTCACAAACTTCAAAGACGTTAAACTCGACGATGGAGAGATCGAGTTCTTGAACTCTCACTCCAAATCTGAGATCGTCGACATGTTGAGGAAACACACTTATAACGAGGAGCTCGAGCAGAGTAAACGGCGTCGTAACGGTAATGGAAACACCGTTAGGACGACGGCGACGAATACGGCGTTAGGTAATAACGAAACGACGGAGTTTAGATCGGCGGAGGCACTGTTTGAGAAAGCGGTGACGCCTAGTGACGTCGGTAAGCTAAACCGTTTGGTTATACCGAAACACCACGCGGAGAAACATTTTCCGTTACCGTCAAGTAACGTTTCCGTGAAAGGAGTGTTGTTGAATTTCGAGGACGTTAACGGGAAGGTGTGGAGGTTCCGTTACTCGTATTGGAACAGTAGTCAAAGCTATGTGTTGACCAAAGGTTGGAGTAGGTTCGTTAAGGAGAAGAATCTACGTGCTGGTGACGTGGTTAGCTTCAGTAGATCGGACGGCCAGGATCAGCAGTTGTACATTGGGTGGAAATCGAGATCCGGGTCGGATTCGGAACCGGGTCGGGTTTTGAGATTGTTCGGGGTTAATATATCGCCGGAGAAGAGTTTGAGAAACGACGTCGTAGGGAACAAGAGAGTGAACGATACTGAGATGTTATCGTTGGTGTGTAGTAAGAAGCAACGCATCTTTCACGCCTCGTAACAACTC